GTGGGGGAGGGGGAGACTTCATCTTCAGAGGTGTAGCCAGAGGTCTCCCCCATCACTAGCTGTGGGAGGGGCTGGAGCACGGCTTCACCGGAGTGGCCTAGTGTCACCTGGGTGGCCTTGCTGAAAGGAAGGAGCTGCTGTTTCTACAACAGAGAAGCAGGTCAGCTGCATGGGCCACATCAGGCCTCCTCCCACCCCACCGGGTGCTCCTTGTCAGGCTTCTTTGCAGATCCTCCCACTGAGGTGTGGGTCCTGGATGACCCCTGAAGTCCCAAATCCTCACCTGCAGCCAGAGTGACTGCAGACCGTGAGCTCTGTGGCTGTCTTCCCGTCAGCCCTTGGCTCTCATTGGGAGTGAGGCGGAGCTGTCAGTAGCGTCCCCACCTTCCACCCACCCGGTGGTCAGACCCTGCGAGAAGCTCCTGACCCTGAGGTCTCTCTGCCCCCTCCTTGTGCCAGGAGGGCAGGGCTCAGCCTCGTTCAGTGTGGTACACTCTAGGCTGCTCAGCGCTTTGTGCTCACTGGTCACAATTGTCCTCTTGGGGCCCTTGACAGCTTCGCATCCACCGCCCGCCTGTGGAGGACCCGAGGGCTCGGGGGAGCTACTGGCTGCTGGGGCTCGTCTCCTTGCTGCACCTGGCGCTGTCTGTGGGCCTGCAGCTCTACGGCTTTCGGCAGAGGCAGCGTGCCCAACGGGAATGGAAGCCGCACCGCAGCCTGTCCCACCGCAGGTACTGAGGGTCACCGGGGGCTTGGGGGTTCCGGCAGCCCCTGGACATCCCTGTGCTCAGCATAGCCTCCACAACTCAGCAGGTGTCACAAAAGACACTGAGGCTCGGTTCTGCCCCCGACCCCCACCAGGAATCACATGGAAGACAGAACCGTTCCCAGGAGCTCCCTGTGCGCCCTGTGCCTGGAGCAGCGCCGGCACCCCACGGCCACACCCTGTGGCCACCTGTTCTGCTGGGAGTGCATCACGCAGTGGTGTGACACCAAGGTGGGCCCTGCAGAGCCAGCTGGTGTACGGGCCAGCTCAGGGGGTTGCCACGGTCAGGGAGACTGCCTTTAAAGCCTCCTCCTCTGTGGGTGGGGCGAGGCAGCTTTTTGGAAGCTCCCAGGTAAGCCAGACTGGGGCCGTCCCAGGTCAAGGTGCCATCCTGGCTCCATGAGGCTGTGCCGAGAGCAAACTGGAGCAGCAGCTGGGCCCTGACGCTCCGTCCTGGGCAGCTGCCTGCATGCACCGAGCTCTTCTGTCTAGCTGGGCAAGTGCCTGTTGTCCACATGGGAGCCCTCTGGGCACAGAACCACCTGCATTGGCCTTTTGGGGTCTCCCAAGCCAGGTGGTCAGGGTAGGGAACACCAAGCCGCCTCTCCCGTCTGCACTGAAAGCAGGGAGCGGTCCGGTTCCTCTGCGCTGGGAGCTCCGCCCGTCGGGGCCCTCCGGGTGAGGGTGGGCGGGGCTGCACAGGGCCGCAGGCCAGTGAGACACGGCGTTCTCCGGGCGGAGTACTGAACACGCCGACCCGTTCCAGCTGAGGCTGGGCGGGGGGCTTTCCTCAGAGCCTGTAGGGGCTCTGGGGGCTCCGGCCTGAGCCTGCTGGAGCTGACTGAGAATCAGCACCTGTGAGGCGTCTGCACCCCGCACGTTCTGCTGGATGCCAGTGCAGCCCCGTCCCCGTTCTGCGGGCTTTCTTAAGAGCATGGTGCTGCCTCCCCTAGTGGCCGGCTCTGGGTGCAGGTGCCTGGCAGGCGCGCAGCTGGCTTCCTGGGGACAGGAGGGAACCTGACCTGAGGGTGGGATCGCTGGGCCTGATGACTCAGGGACAGAAGAGTTCCGTTTCCAGGAAGCCAGGAGGTTCATGGCAGCCAGTCTTTAGCAGCCCGCTGAGACCCCCACAGGAGTCTCAACGTAACTGAGTGGCCAAGAGCCCTCCCCGCTGAGCCCCCGAGGGGATGGACTCGTGGTCTAGTCTGCCAGGTTACTGTTCCCTGCCCTACTCCTGGGCTGCCCTGGGGCTAAGTCCTTCCCTGTGGAGTTATGACTTCCCAAAAATGCTGATTTTTATTTTCTTGGGCTTGAGTGGACTAGTTCTGTGCCCCTCCAGTGTATTGCTGGAGATGCCAGTGGGGGGAAGGCCTGTGGCCAGGGCTGTGCCTGACAGGTCCCACGTGACACGCACCCCCTCCCCAACAGACGGAGTGTCCCCTCTGCAGGGAGAGATTCCCGCCTCAGAAGCTTGTCTACCTGCGGCACTACCACTGACCCCACGAAGACTGCCTCACGAGTCTTTCCTAACATCAGGAAAAACCTAATTTGTTCCCAAAATTAACTTTTCCTGCAAAGAAATCACAAAATTCTCAAGATTTTTATTTTTACTTTTTGTCATGAGATACTATGCCAGCAGCTCAGGAGGCTGGAAGCTGACCTGGCTGCACAACAGCCGGGCAGGGGCCTTCAGGGCGGGTTTGGATGGAGCCCCGCCTGACCAGTACCCCCGAGCCTGGTACCAGTGGGCACACGGGCCCCCCAACTCAGATGTCCCCCAGCCATTGTGCCGGTTTAGCCCCTTCCTTGGGGACCCCTCATCTGGCCAAGGCTTTTTTAGGCTCTTCTGTCCCCAAACCACACAGTTGAGAACCACTCTGAGAAACAGGCCTGGACCAGCTATTCACTCGTGTGGAGAAAAGGCAAGGACATCGTGCATATGAGAGGCCGCAGGAGGGGTAGGCAGGGAAGGCGGGGGTCTGCGTGGCAGTGTGTCCACCTACCCACCCCAATGGCCTGCGATCCTCATCCTCGTGGCCAGATCCAGGCTGTGGAGTGGCGCGGGCACCTCCATTCCAGGAGCAGACAGAAGCCGAGGAGCCGTATCTCCACTGGAAACACCTGGCAGGTGCCCTCTAATGGCATCAAGTGTCGCCATTTTATGAAATGGAAGTCTGCCTGTTGGCCTTATCCAGACTTCCTGCTCAGAGTGCCTGGTGGGACAGGGCTGGCAGACTGAGAGGTGGTTTTCCTAACGCCCAGCCTGCGGACACCACCAGACCCCACTCCCGGTGGCTGGGACACGTCAGTTGCTCACCCATCACCACTGCATCTAACCTGCCCCTGTGCCTTTTTACTGTCGGGTGTTTAAGCCGTATTTAACTTGTGCCAGAGACAGGAATTTGGCACAAGTGTCCTTAGGGAACAAACTGCATAGAAGTATTGTCAGTTAGGAACCCTGGGGAGAGCAAATATCAGGCTTCGTAGAGGACAGTGAACATGCCATGGCCAGGGCCACCGGTCAGGCAGTGACGTCCCTGCTGAGGCCTGCACAGAACACTGCCAGAGCCGACTCGGTTCTGTGTGGGAACAGGGATGGTTCCAAACTGCTCTCAATCAAGTCACATGCCGGAGACAGCCACCGAGGCCTTGGGGAGCAAGCCTCCCGACGGGGAGCCCCAAGGGCCTGCACGGTTCCTAGCATCCTTTACTCATGCCCGCTCTGAGCAAGCGCAGCTTCCCGTCACATCTTACACCTGAGCATTTACTAGGAAACCTGAAGAACGTGTCTAGAGCTGGAGCGTGCCAGGTGCTCGTGGTGGTGGTGCTGCGTTGGAGCATCCTTTCACTTACGGAGCTTGCGATACAGCGCCCAGTATACAGAAGGCCTTAGCAGCTCCGTTTCACATCAGCAGGAATTGGCAAAAGAGGAAAGGCCATTTGCTGTCAGAAACCCTAAGAGGGATGGGAAGTGGCTCAGAGCTATGAGTCTGAACCACACGAGGACGCGGGAGGTCGGTGGACAGTAAGTCTGTGACCGGGTCCAGGGGCAGCTGCGGGCAGGTGTGCCCGCCCTGCTGCTGTGAGCGGCGCTTCCCCGTCAGGGGATGGCGCTGCTCCCCGCCGGGCTCTGCACTTTAGGTAAAGACTACGCAAAGGGGGCACTGTGTTTAACGAGGTTGGAATTAAAAAGTCACTAAAACGGTTGTTTTTGTTTTTATCACATCAAAAAAGGTGGCATGTAGGTCAGAGTTGTTCCCCATAGAAAGTGAAAAGCTGGGTGTGAGAACTGGAGCTGATCTGCTCTCTACAGCCGGTTGGTCCTGTAAAGGGGCTGCTGCTTGAGAACATTTAATCCAAAACAACTCTTTATATATCAAAGAAACGTGTCAAAATAATCTCAAACAATTAAAATATAATATATATTTATAATTCCAGGCCCTCAAAAAGCAATCATGGTAGTTAAGAGCAAAGTTTTGAGTCATTATGATAGAGGCCAACTTTAAACATCTCTGGGGAGATGGGACTGGGAAACTGGCATTAGAACCCCAGTCAGTTGACAGTCACCTTTCAAACGTGACGCTCCTTCAGATGCAGGAACCAGCACTGTCCTCCAGTCGGGCATCGTGGTCACTGGCGTCCTCCGGAAGGTGGCGCTGTTGCGACCCGGGTCCTTCCACCAAGGCTGGTTCTGCAGCCTCGTGACAACTGCCTGCCGCCCCTCCCCAAGCTCCCCGACTATCCACTGAGCCTGCAATTTACTAGAATTCTGTCCATTTGAACACTTGAACGTCACTGAAAAATAAACACGATTCGGTTTAAAGCCAGTTTCTTCAAGAACCTGATATTTCAGTTACAAATAATTGAAGCTCCTTTTAAAAAAGAAAATTTGACTCCCTCGTAATCAACTACTTTATGTGAAGAAAGAAGGCATTGTTACAATGGCTCAAAACCGTCTTGGGACTCCATGTGACGGGTCTGGCCGCGTCTTAACTCGCGAACGTCTTGCCTGCATCCTCCTTCCCTTTATATGTCCTTTTTCCATGTGTGAACGGGATGTACCGGTACTTGATCATATGCTGGGGACGAACAGATTCATTTCAGAGCAGCTCCCTAATGAGCCACACCCCACAAACCTGAACCCTGGCCTTCCCTCCTTGCTGGGCAACGAACCCAGGGCACCACGACCAGCTTCCAGCTTCCATCAACATGGCTAAGCGCCCCATGCCCAGCTGAGCTGCCACACTCAGGAAGCCCAAGGGCACAGGAAAAGTCAAGTGACCCTGCCTGCAGGACAGGCTGGGGCTCCAGGTGCCCACTGAGGTTTAGGGCACTGTCTGACCACTACACACAGGCCCTGGGCCTCACAGGACGACAAACAGCACCCTAAGCTGTCTGCCTGGGGCCTGTCACTGGTACCTGGGCCCCTTTCAAGCACAGACCTGAGGAAAGTGTGCTCAGCACTGGCACGTGGCAGCGACCACGCCCGTTACCTTGATCTGCCGCTTCATGGTGATGCAGAAGAGCATGATGAAGTACATCACCAGGATGGGCCAGAACACCGGGACATTGAAAGCCTCAAAGAAGGTGCAGACCGTGGCCACAAGGACACCCTTGGTCGCCGCGTGCCTTAAGGGAAGGAGTGAGGTCAGCGCTGCCGGCCCACCACAAGGAGCACACACCTCTTGGGGAGCTGCCTGGGTGCAGCGGGCATCTCACTTGTAACAGACTGTGTGTGTGAGCACAAATACAGCCCCAAGTTCTCCCCCAAATCACACAAAGCATGATGGTCTGAGGTCTGTGGCGGGCACCTGCCACCCGAAACGGCCCTGCCTCCGTGCAGTCCTGAGGGCCAGGCGGAGCCCAGGACCATGGCCCTGCTGACACCCCTGGCTCTCCCTCCCCTACAAAGTCAGTGTCCTCGGAGGGCTTGCAGGCCCCGGGCTGGCCCGCCTCCCACTCCTGCCCCGCTCGGGAGTCTCCTGCACTGCCCTCCCTCCCGCATGCAGCCGCCCACCCCACTCAGACCCTCAGAGCAAAGGTGCAACAGCTGCTCCCTCGGGTTTGGTCTGACCCAGGACAGGCACCAGAGCCTATGCTTGACATTGCAGGTCACCCGTCCTCCTATCATGCTCCCGTCCCAGCACCACACAGGTCACTGCCTCTAGGCCTAGGGGCCGAGCTAGCCGCCGTCCCAGCACTTCCAATGACAGGGGGCCCCCCCGAGGCTGTACTTGCCTGGGGGCAGAGAGCTGCTTCAGCCCTGCTGGAGACCAGAAGGGTGCCGTGCACGCAGCGACACAGGCCAGCCGCCCCGAGGCCCAAGTCTCTTGAGGCCGACATACCCGGGACCCTCCACCCAGAAGCGGCTTCTTTTCTGCCACCGTCAAAGAGCACCAGCACGGCACTCACACTGGGTGAAGGGACGCTCCAGACAGACGCACAGCAAAGCTCTCACCGCCTCAATCCCGTCAGCACCCTGGAGGAGGAGCACCTCTCACAGGCCTTTCGGAATCAACTCACCAGAATTTAAACTCTGGAAGCCTTCGAATGAAGGGCCGGAACTCCTCGTTCTGCTTGGTCGGCAGTGAGGGGCCGTCATCTGGAAGGCAGAGTGTCAGTCTGAGAGAGCGCGCGTCCTCTCGTCATTCCATCACTACAGCCACGGGTTTGTCCCTAAAGCTTTGGAGCCAGAGCCCCAACACGTGAGACCTGTACAGGAGTGCGCCATTTACGCACAGACAATGAGGGATCTCCAACAGATTTAGAAAATCAATTCACTGCTTTAAGAGAATCATGTTAGAATGTTTTAAATGACTGCATAAAAATCCACCCGCACAGCAGTTTCCAGGACATGTCGATCCACCACAGGGAGGCACGCGAGCTGCGCTATGCGCGCTCACAGAGCAGGGCCCTCGTGGGCGCCCTGAGTGGCCGGGCCTGGCGCTGAGGCCCGTACGCCCGCCCCCTCCCAGCGCACCCAGGTGGGGCCTCTCCAGCTATGGGAGAACCCTGGGGCCAGCAGAAGGGGTTGCTTAGTCACTTTCTATTCCCTCCAGTGGCAACATTAGATACAAAGGCTGTTCCCTTTAGTACTTTAATTAAATGCTCCACAGAGAAAAGTCACCGACTCTGGTTTTAACCCGAAGTCTCGAGAAACGTCCAGCACACAGAAAGCAGGTTGTGTCCCTCCCGTAAAGAAGAGGACATGCTGGCAGAGGCGACTCTGTCTGTGCCCCCACCCCTGGCCCAGGGAGGGCCAGAGCAGCATGGGCCAAGAACTCTTCAGCCCATCATCCTGTGAGACTGAGCATCGCCCTCAGTGGGCCCAACTGCCATGCTCGGCACGCCAGCAGCCTCCGTGAGTCCCAGTGCACTACCCGTGGACCCCCAGGCGCTGGAGGAAGGGGACCTGGCCAGTGTCACAGGAGTACGTCCTGCTCGCTCTGCCCTGTGACCTCAGACCAGGCCGCCTGGGTACCCGTTTCCTCATCTATGAACCAGGCCACCGCCTCTGCACAGCCATTAGGGCTGTCACGCTGTGCGCAAATTCATCACCATCACAACAGTCCCAGGTACACTTTAAATGCCGACACAACAGTCTCAGAAGCTTGGATTCCAGATGTTTCTAGAGAATACAGCAATCCTGTGAAGGATACAAAATCACGATCCTCCCCAAACAGAGTGGACTATCTCTACCTGAATCTTCCATTAAGGAAGGGTCCACTTTTGGAGAAAGGAAAGCTATGAAAAGGTTTAGGTGGTAGATCCCCAAGGCGTAGGTCACGATGTACCAACCCTGGAAGAGAAGGAAACACGGTCAGTGATGCTGCAACCACCCACCACCCTGGACCAGGTCACCACATAACGTTCCAGTGACTCTCAACCTTGTCTGAACTGAACTTTAAGTGCACACAGCTCACTGATAATGCAAGGTTACAGCAGGGAACATGGAAGCACAGTGAACAGCCATCGTGACAGTTTGTCTCATTACCTTGTGCGTCTCCATGAGGGACAAGCCAGAACCCAAAGAGCAAACATCTCCAAGGGTCCAGTCAGATGCACATGACACCTGACACAAACAAGCAAGGTCTTCCCCAAGCCACATACCCCAGCTGCAGCTCCAGACCCTCAAGCCTGGGGTGGGTGCAGCTCGGGCAGAGTGGCGCTGGGCCGCATCTACCCCAGGCCAGCGGCTATCTGCCCTGGACACAGAACTGGAACCACGGCTCGCATGCTGGCTGACACTCTTGGTGAGCAACTCACATCAGCACACTCTTCGTCAGGAGCTCAAATCTCTGCCCAGCAGAAAGCCGGAACCAGAAAGTCAGGAAATCGAGAATGAGGTTAAAGATGTTTTGCAGCCAAACCTTCCTCAAGATGTGCCAAGAAGTGGGGCCTGCACAGCATCTACATGCCCCACACTTTCCTGCAACTAAGGCTAATTGAAATATCAACAAGTTGGTCAACTGAGAACCAAAAATGAATTGTTATCAATTAAAAAGCCTACAAATTTTCATACAAACAAGATGAAATCTTTCTGCCTTAACATGTTTCAAGTCTTCAGAAAACTAAAATCTAAATGTGAAAAGTCTGAGTTTAATGTTTACGCAGCTTCCTGTTGCAGGGCCATGCCTGAAGAGCCGGACTAGAGAGCATCTGGTTGAGGGCGGTGAATGCACCCCAGCCCCACATGAATTCCCTGATCAATGTTTCTAGGTCATTCTTTCCACTAGTGACTAGACAAAGTTCCAATTGAAAAAAAATCTATAATCAGTTAAAGTCAATCAACATCAATTTTAGACATCCCGTACAGAGGGGATCCTGCTACAATGAACGGAGAGCGGCCTACAGCCCGCAGGCCAGGCGGGACCTGTCCTGACATCCCAGAGCAGTGTGTCCACGCTGAGCCTCAGTGAGGCTTCCCCCAGCACTGGGCACCTGGAGCGTCCAGTCAGCACGTGTCCACCTACGGACCCATGTCCTCCCGAAGCGGGAAGGGAAGTGTTTGCTTTAAATGACAACATATTTCCTAGCTCCAGAAAAAAAACTCTGCTCAAGGCCGTTAACTGCCTTCCTCCAGACACAGGGACAGCCAGTGACCCCTCCTGAGGTCTAGACCCCAATCCAGGAACCAGGTGGCCGCTGGAGAAGAGCGCACAGCAAGCTCAAGTCTGAGAGGACGCCCCAGCCCCACCGTCACTACGGGGAAGCCTCAGCTCCAACACCTGCACCTCAGAAAAGCTGTGACTCCAACAGCTGAGCCCTCAGACGCCAGTGTCACTCGCGACACTTGGGCAACGAGGCGGCAAGTCTGGGTTATTTCGCCCCCAGAGATTTCTGCCCCTCGGAGTCCCGAGGCAGGGTCAAGGGTAGTAGTCAGAGGGCCCACCATCCAGACCATGACCCTGGATGAGGAGGGAGGAGCGCTATCAATGTCAGCAGGCCCCACGCTGCAGTCACGACCGTCCTGGTAACTCTAGTTACAGAAAATGAACAACGCAGGGTCAGCTGTAAGCAATCCCACTTTGAAAGACAAACACTCAAGTATTTCTTAGGTTTGGTGCTAAACTGCAAAGTGGCCATTACAGATCATCTCCATCTCTGTAAACCCTCCTCATCCAGAGACAGAACAGAGCAACAGCCCAACCAACACCCACTCAGACTCAACAGCTGAGCCTTGTCCCCCAGCTCACACCTACCTGCAACAGGTAAACACGGATCAGGTAGACAAAGCTCAGGCCCAGCGTGGCAGCCCAGCGCACAGCCGTGTAGGGCGTGGACCTGTCCAGCCAGCACTGGTAGACCTGGGGAGACAGCGTCCACATGGGTCACATGCACAGTGACCCCAGCCGCATGGCACACACCAGTCACCCACTCCAGATTTGAGTCACTGGCACAGAGCAGTGACTGAAGCGTCAATCTATCAGCAGTGATTCCTGAGGCAGATCCACCCCTTAGACAGAAGCCTTACACTCTCAGCACCTGGTCCTATGGTGTCAGCAAAGGTACCATGCAGGGGACACCGACCTTCACCCCAAGGACTGGCCTGAGAAAGGATTTGCCACCCCACGACACATGGGGCAGAGAGCTGCTTCAGCCCTGCTGGAGACCAGAAGGGTGCCGTGCACGCAGCGACACAGGCCAGCCGCCCCGAGGCCCAAGTCTCTTGAGGCCGACATACCCGGGACCCTCCACCCAGAAGCGGCTTCTTTTCTGCCACCGTCAAAGAGCACCAGCACAGCACTCACACTGGGTGAAGGGACGCTCCAGACAGACGCACAGCAAAGCTCTCACCGCCTCAATCCCGTCAGCACCCTGGAGGAGGAGCACCTCTCACAGGCCTTTCGGAATCAACTCACCAGAATTTAAACTCTGGAAGCCTTCGAATGAAGGGCCGGAACTCCTCGTTCTGCTTGGTCGGCAGTGAGGGGCCGTCATCTGGAAGGCAGAGTGTCAGTCTGAGAGAGCGCGCGTCCTCTCGTCATTCCATCACTACAGCCACGGGTTTGTCCCTAAAGCTTTGGAGCCAGAGCCCCAACACGTGAGACCTGTACGGGAGTGCGCCATTTACGCACAGACAATGAGGGATCTCCAACAGATCTAGAAAATCAATTCACTGCTTTAAGAGAATCATGTTAGAATGTTTTAAATGACTGCATAAAAATCCACCCGCACAGCAGTTTCCAGGACATGTCGATCCACCACAGGGAGGCACGCAAGCTGCGCTATGAGCGCTCACAGAGCAGGGCCCTCGTGGGCGCCCTGAGTGGCCGGGCCTGGCGCTGAGGCCCGTACGCCCGCCCCCTCCCAGCGCACCCAGGTGGGGCCTCTCCAGCTATGGGAGAACCCTGGGGCCAGCAGAAGGGGTTGCTTAGTCTCTTTCTATTCCCTCCAGTGGCAACATTAGATACAAAGGCTGTTCCCTTTAGTACTTTAATTAAATGCTCCACAGAGAAAAGTCACCGACTCTGGTTTTAACCCGAAGTCTCGAGAAACGTCCAGCACACAGAAAGCAGGTTGTGTCCCTCCCGTAAAGAAGAGGACATGCTGGCAGAGGCGACTCTGTCTGTGCCCCCACCCCTGGCCCAGGGAGGGCCAGAGCAGCATGGGCCAAGAACTCTTCAGCCCATCATCCTGTGAGACTGAGCATCGCCCTCAGTGGGCCCAACTGCCATGCTCGGCACGCCAGCAGCCTCCGTGAGTCCCAGTGCACTACCCGTGGACCCCCAGGCGCTGGAGGAAGGGGACCTGGCCAGTGTCACAGGAGTACGTCCTGCTCGCTCTGCCCTGTGACCTCAGACCAGGCCGCCTGGGTACCCGTTTCCTCATCTATGAACCAGGCCACCGCCTCTGCACAGCCATTAGGGCTGTCACGCTGTGCACAAATTCATCACCATCACAACAGTCCCAGGTACACTTTAAATGCCGACACAACAGTCTCAGAAGCTTGGATTCCAGATGTTTCTAGAGAATACAGCAATCCTGTGAAGGATACAAAATCACGATCCTCCCCAAACAGAGTGGACTATCTCTACCTGAATCTTCCATTAAGGAAGGGTCCACTTTTGGAGAAAGGAAAGCTATGAAAAGGTTTAGGTGGTAGATCCCCAAGGCGTAGGTCACGATGTACCAACCCTGGAAGAGAAGGAAACACGGTCAGTGATGCTGCAACCACCCACCACCCTGGACCAGGTCACCACATAACGTTCCAGTGACTCTCAACCTTGTCTGAACTGAACTTTAAGTGCACACAGCTCACTGATAATGCAAGGTTACAGCAGGGAACATGGAAGCACAGTGAACAGCCATCGTGACAGTTTGTCTCATTACCTTGTGCGTCTCCATGAGGGACAAGCCAGAACCCAAAGAGCAAACATCTCCAAGGGTCCAGTCAGATGCACATGACACCTGACACAAACAAGCAAGGTCTTCCCCAAGCCACATACCCCAGCTGCAGCTCCAGACCCTCAAGCCTGGGGTGGGTGCAGCTCGGGCAGAGTGGCGCTGGGCCGCATCTACCCCAGGCCAGCGGCTATCTGCCCTGGACACAGAACTGGAACCACGGCTCGCTTGCTGGCTGACACTCTTGGTGAGCAACTCACATCAGCACACTCTTCGTCAGGAGCTCAAATCTCTGCCCAGCAGAAAGCCGGAACCAGAAAGTCAGGAAATCGAGAATGAGGTTAAAGATGTTTTGCAGCCAAACCTTCCTCAAGATGTGCCAAGAAGTGGGGCCTGCACAGCATCTACATGCCCCACACTTTCCTGCAACTAAGGCTAATTGAAATATCAACAAGTTGGTCAACTGAGAACCAAAAATGAATTGTTATCAATTAAAAAGCCTACAAATTTTCATACAAACAAGATGAAATCTTTCTGCCTTAACATGTTTCAAGTCTTCAGAAAACTAAAATCTAAATGTGAAAAGTCTGAGTTTAATGTTTACGCAGCTTCCTGTTGCAGGGCCACGCCTGAAGAGCCGGACTAGAGAGCATCTGGTTGAGGGCGGTGAATGCACCCCAGCCCCACATGAATTCCCTGATCAATGTTTCTAGGTCATTCTTTCCACTAGTGACTAGACAAAGTTCCAATTGAAAAAAAATCTATAATCAGTTAAAGTCAATCAACATCAATTTTAGACATCCCGTACAGAGGGGATCCTGCTACAATGAACGGAGAGCGGCCTACAGCCCGCAGGCCAGGCGGGACCTGTCCTGACATCCCAGAGCAGTGTGTCCACGCTGAGCCTCAGTGAGGCTTCCCCCAGCACTGGGCACCTGGAGCGTCCAGTCAGCACGTGTCCACCTACGGACCCATGTCCTCCCGAAGCGGGAAGGGAAGTGTTTGCTTTAAATGACAACATATTTCCTAGCTCCAGAAAAAAAACTCTGCTCAAGGCCGTTAACTGCCTTCCTCCAGACACAGGGACAGCCAGTGACCCCTCCTGAGGTCTAGACCCCAATCCAGGAACCAGGTGGCCGCTGGAGAAGAGCGCACAGCAAGCTCAAGTCTGAGAGGACGCCCCAGCCCCACCGTCGCTACGGGGAAGCCTCAGCTCCAACACCTGCACCTCAGAAAAGCTGTGACTCCAACAGCTGAGCCCTCAGACGCCAGTGTCACTCGCGACACTTGGGCAACGAGGCGGCAAGTCTGGGTTATTTCGCCCCCAGAGATTTCTGCCCCTCGGAGTCCCGAGGCAGGGTCAAGGGTAGTAGTCAGAGGGCCCACCATCCAGACCATGACCCTGGATGAGGAGGGAGGAGCGCTATCAATGTCAGCAGGCCCCACGCTGCAGTCACGACCGTCCTGGTAACTCTAGTTACAGAAAATGAACAACGCAGGGTCAGCTGTAAGCAATCCCACTTTGAAAGACAAACACTCAAGTATTTCTTAGGTTTGGTGCTAAACTGCAAAGTGGCCATTACAGATCATCTCCATCTCTGTAAACCCTCCTCATCCAGAGACAGAACAGAGCAACAGCCCAACCAACACCCACTCAGACTCAACAGCTGAGCCTTGTCCCCCAGCTCACACCTACCTGCAACAGGTAAACACGGATCAGGTAGACAAAGCTCAGGCCCAGCGTGGCAGCCCAGCGCACAGCCGTGTAGGGCGTGGACCTGTCCAGCCAGCACTGGTAGACCTGGGGAGACAGCGTCCACATGGGTCACATGCACAGTGACCCCAGCCGCATGGCACACACCAGTCACCCACTCCAGATTTGAGTCACTGGCACAGAGCAGTGACTATGAAGCGTCAATCTATCAGCAGTGATTCCTGAGGCAGATCCACCCCTTAGACAGAAGCCTTACACTCTCAGCACCTGGTCCTATGGTGTCAGCAAAGGTACCATGCAGGGGACACCGACCTTCACCCCAAGGACTGGCCTGAGAAAGGATTTGCCACCCCACGACACAGGACTCAGCCCAGAGCATATCCCAAAGCCCACTCCCCAAAGAGCTGCCCTGCACAGCTGGCCAGCCAGCCTGACCCCAGCAGGGGGACCAGGTATCTGGCAGCAAAGCAGCGGGCTGGAAGAGGGTCCTCAGTCCCACTCCAGCGCGTGCCTGTGCCATGTGATCCGCAGTTTGTGTCCTCTATTTTAATCGTTGTCACTTGATTTTAACTTTTTATTTTAATTGCAAAAAGTCCCACCTGTTCACAGAAGGAAAGAGAATGCATGAGCCCACATGCCCACCAGCTGGCTTCAGTGATTATCAGGTTTTCCAATGTTTGGGAAAAGATGGATTTTTCGATTTTGAAAATAAAATTTTTTAATTAAAATTTTTAAAAACTTTTAAAACTCGATACATTTTTAATTCTCAGCAGAGCATCCGTGGGTGCAGCTGCTCACCAAACTCTACTTCCTCTGCACAGGCTGGACTCAGGGTCTGAATGTAGCTGCAGGTGCTGCTGGCCAATGCAGGCCAGTGCCACAGCCCAGATACAGTCCATTCCCGCGCACAGACCCAGACAAGGGGCAGGTGGGGGTGCTGCGAGGCCCCCTGGGCCAAGGGAACGTGGAAATGGTGGCCAGAGGGGACAGCAGAGCAGGAGCTGCCACCATGTCTGCATGGCCAGGAGCTAAGAATGGTTTACGCTTCTAAAGGCTGCTGAAAAACTCAGAAAGCAACCGTGTGGCAGAGACCGTATGTAGTCCCCGCACCTGAGCGGCCTAGCCTGGCCCTTCATAGAAAGCGCACAAAGTGAGACACGGGCCTGAGGAAAGGCCAGCCTTCCTCTCTAGGGACGTTAGTCATTTACGCCCTGAGGAGCATGTCCCACGGTCAACAAGTACTTGTTCAAATATTTACCCAATTCATCTGCAGAAATACCGACCTGTCCAAGCCTTGTGAAGAATCTGTACACCACAGAAGGCTTCCCATGGACAGAATCGCCAACACTGTCACCTTCGGACATTCTGCAACTGAGAAACACAACGGCCTTAAACAGAAGGCACTGGGAGACACGGTCTCTGCCCGGTGTCACCAGCGCCTTGCAGCTCCTCCTGGCACTCAGCGTCTCATCACGCCACAGGTTCTTCTGTGTCTTTACCATGAGTCGGCGGGAAAAAGAACCAGGCAGGAGACACGCTTTGGTGGACAGCCAGGATGTCATGTGACACATGCAGAGCGGCACCAGTGGACTTTCGCTTCTGCCAGCGTCACCTGGTCACCCCCCCCCCGCAACGGGCCCCACGAGCTGTCCTGCTTGACCGTGGCGTCCTGGGGGCAGTATGATGAGCACCTCCTTGGGGACGGTCCATGGCAAGGACTCCGTCCAGCATCTCCCCTCCTGCGTGGGGTCCCCTCAGCAGGCTCTCTCCAGGCCTGGCTTGATCTCCCCCGGCTGCTCCTCCAGCCAGCAGCCAGCTGTGCTTCTCCTGGTCATTCGGGGCAGGTGTGCCCCCACCCCAAGGACATTCCCACATGACTGATTCTCAGGGAGGCAATGTCTGTGTCTCATTCCTTATCTGGATGGAGATAATCCTGTGCGCTCCTGCCTGGTTCAACCTGCTGCTAAGTAAGATCCTGGGAGAACTGAGCTGGGAGAACCCAGACGGCCGAGTGAGCAGCCACCATCAGCCCCACTCTGCCACAGAAGATCGGGTCCCAGGCGGCTTGAGTCACCTGCCTAAGGCCAGGGGCAGCGGTGATCTCAGCAGCCAAAGCCCGGCCTGACCTCAGTTCCTCCACTGGGCAACCTGCACCTTAGGATGAGAAGGAGCCAGAAGCCGGAGGTACCTGCCTCCACTCAGCTAGTGGAGATGCAGGCAAAGCTCACCTGCAGGCCGAGCTGTCCCCACATGGTGCTATGGCTGAGCTGTCTAGTTTGCTACCAAGGCCCCCAGGCTGCATGGCCACAAGGCCCGTTTCCTTGTCTGGCCGACAGCACTGGCAAACACAGTGGCCCTTCCCATTCCCAGAGCACTGGGCTCCCCATGCCTGAGCGCCTGTGTGCAGAGCTGCCGGGTGCACCTGCCCACGTCTCAGCCACACACCCCTGCAAGCACCTGGAACAGCCTCTTTCTGAGATGGGGTCAGTAGGCTGATGTGATCCCAGAGTGTTCCAGGCACAACGTGGACATTAAAACCCTCTGAGCAGTCCCACTACACCACTGTTACCAGGCATCATGTGACCTGACTCCGTTTCCAGAGCCACTGGGCAGATGGGGCACTGCCGTGGACACCCAGAAACAAACAACACCCTTTGCTCTCAGGAGATGCGCAAATGGAAGACAGGTGACCCAAATGAACGGACCATCACGGCTCCAGTCTCCTGTCCTTTCAGGAGATGCACTTTTACATTCAACTGAGGAGAATTCTGTGTTTTAAAAGGGGCTAAATTAGAACTCATTTCCTAGAATGGCCGGCCACCCTATTGTGGCCAAGGTCAGGCCAGCAGAAAGCCACGTCAATAATATTTTTTACCCTATGGTTCCTCACAAATTTTCCTTCATTTTCCTGTTTTATGCCTGAAGTGTCTCCCATTACGTGGAGGCAGTAACAGTGATCTTAGTGAGAAAACACCTGTCCTTCACGCACACATGCTAGGAGAAACGACTGCTACAATTTCCCATGATTTCAGTTGAGTGTGTGGAAAAATCTTCCAAAAACACAGTAGTCGATCTCTGATGATCTGACAGACAGCACACACATTAACACACAGCTCCAAGTCTCAAGCAAACTCACTGTGAAGAATAACACCAAGGACGTGGACTTTGGAGTCAAACAGGTCTCAGAGTCCAGCTGTCACTGTCTTGCGGTGCAACGTGGACAACCCCCCAGCACCCCCCAACGACCTGCAGAGTGAGGCGATGGCACTAAGCGGCCCTCGGACATTGCCTTGGAGGGAGTCAGCTGCATGTAGCACCAGGCCTGACCCTCCAGCCAGGCAGGAGGGTCAAGGCCCGCCTCCCTCAAACGAGTCAGACTTGTTCCTGGTTCCTGGATTCGGGCCGGCCTCACACCAGCTGCTCTGTGGTCCTCTCCCCTCTGCTCAGTTGGAAGGCCACCTCCTCAGAGAGGCCCTCCTGCCTATCAAACCGACCACCAGGTCCCTTGGATCACGTCACCCCCTGTTTACTTGGTGTAACATTTCCTGACTTCCTTGTTCTCTCTATTTTCTCTGACTAGAATGTAAGCTCCTTGAGGGGGAAGCTCATCTGGACTGCTGCTGGGTCCTGCCGCCTAAAACAGCCTGTTAGGTAGCAGGCAGGCGGTAAATCATCTGTTGCATTTAACTGTTCCACGCTGGGTCCAAAAGAAAGCAAAGCAAAAGCAAGATAAAACCATCCCGAGCGGAGAGCAGGGGCACCGCGCACGAGCCCGTCCGCAGGCCGGGAGGCCCCGTCCGGAGCCGCGACCGGAGGGCTTCTGGAGGCGGTCTCCGCCCGGCCACGGGGCCACCAGCGGTCCGGCCCCCCGCCTTTCTGCCCATCTCCTCATGCCCCCGTCCTCCTGGGCCCCACGCTGACCTCGGGTGCTGTCCCCGGCTCAAACGCCCCTCCAGCCGTCTCCGTCCATGCCCGGCGAGGCGCGCTCGGGCCGGGACCCCCTCCTCGGGGCGGGACCGCCGCGGACGTCCGCACCTGCCCCTGCCACCCTGCCCGCCATCTGCACTCAGCAGGACCTGGTCTCAACAGCCGAGGGCCCCGTGCTCATTCGCGGGGTCTCCACCTCACACGTTCCCGGGAGGGGAGGGCCGACCCGGACCAAGGGCGGGCCTCGGGAGAGCGTCCGGGGCCAACACGGCCTCCCTCTGCCGCGCACGGAAGCGGGGCCGACCCGACGGGGGCGCGGGCACGGCACCGAGTCAGCCTGCAGGACTCAGTCTGCACCAGGACGGGACCCCCGGCAACCCTCTGCACCCGACAGCCCCTGCCCACACCGCGCGGGCAGGCCTAGCCCCGGGCGCGGAAGCCGACGGAGAGGCGGCCGAGTCCCCTCCCTCCCGGGGCGGTCACCGCGCGACCCCGGTGTGCGGCCCGGCCATGCTCTGCCCGAACCCCCGCCCCATCCCCGCCCGGACCCTGGGCCCCGCCGGCACCTCGCCGCTCCGCTGCGGCCGAGCGCGGTCTCCCGAGGGCCGCAGGGAGGAGGACGCGGGCAGGCGGCCGCGCCGGCGCTTCGCTCGGTCCGGGAAGGGGGCAGCCGGGGACTTCCGCTCCGTCCTGCGCGGCACCGCCTCCGGGGCCTCCAAGATGGCCGCCAGGGCGGACCCGAGAGCCTCCAACCATTTCCGCTTCCGGCGCGGGCGCCCAGCGGCTGGCGGGGCGGTGCCCTCGGCGGAAAGGACGTATCAGCGGACACACGCCTTGTGGCGCAGGCGCAGCTGCGTCCTCCGACTCCGGGCCCAGGCAGCTTCGCTCCGGAGATTATTACCGCCCGGGGACGGGTGCTCGGCCCCGCCCCCTCGCGACCGACGAGCCAACGGAGGAGGACTCTGACGGTTGCTAAGGGAAACCGCTAGCGGCAAGATGGCAGCCTCCGGCGAAGGGAGGCTGAGCGGCCGCCGGCCGCGCCGGGACCCACGGGGGCGGCCGCCGCGCGACGGTAACGGCCGCGGGCTCGCGCCTTCACTTTGGGACGCTCCCGCGCGCTTCCCCGGGGCCCCAGCCGGACCCCGGGCGCCCTCGTGCCCCTCTCCGGGTTCCGTGTGTCCTCGCCCCGTGATGGCCGGGTTCTCGGGCCGAGTCCCAGCACCGGCCGGGGCCTGATGAGCCCGGACTAGGCGTCCGCACCGCTACTGCGAGCAGAACGCGACCCTCGCCGGCGGCAGAGTCGCTGACTGGGGGCCCCTTCCCACCTCGCCCCGCTCGCCCCACGTTGCGCCTGGGAACGGGCTATGGGGCGGGGAACGGGGGAGGCGCCCCGCGGCCTAGCGGAGGGAGGAAGGGGGGCGGGCCCTGGGCGCACGTGTGGTCCTGGGGCACAGGAGGCCATTGAACGGCTCCTGAAGAGAAATGGCAGGGCTCCTCCCCGCTGCGCTCTGCCCAAAAGTTCCCTCCCCAGGAAGGCGCCCCACTCTCCCAACCGCCCCTCACGCCGCCGCCTCTCTCGGGGCGTCTGCACGCCCTTGTCCCGGGGCCTCCCACTGGGCCTCCTTGCGCGGAGTGCAGGTCCTCCTCATGTTTGTTGCATAAACAGAAGAGAGGGTGGCTGTATGAACAGTAAACAGGAAAAGTCGTGACCCCCAAACTGAAGCTCTAGGCCGCAGTGCTGGGGAGTTCACTGCAGGTGAAGATGCCCTTGAGGGGGGTGCACACTCGTCCTCATTAGCGCAAGACCCCACCAGGTCACCTGTGTCAGGTGCTCACTTGTGCATCTTTTCAACCTTCAGGTTACGGTGTCTACATATACCCAAATTCTTTCTTTCGATACGAAGGAGAATGGAGAGGAGGGAAGAAGCATGGTCAGATTCCTGCAGCCAGCACTTCGCAACTGACAGCCCGTCTCCTGGGGAGTTTGGTCAGGAGGGTGGCATGGAGTGCCAGCCAGCCTGGGCCCTTGTGCCCTTACTGGTGCCAATGAAAGGCCCCTTCTTTCCGCATTGGAGCTCGCCAGACAAGGCGCCCCAGTGCTGCTCCGGCAGCTGGCAGCAAAGCCAGGCAGCAGCAGTGGGGCCCTGGGAGACCCCTGGGTGGGCAGCCTTCTCAGGCCTTGGGGCACCCTTGGCAGGGAAATTGCGACTTGAAAATCATCCCTAAAGTTTTCGTTTGTCATAAACTGCCTTTATGGCTTTTTCTGATAAAGAGATTCTGTACCTTTGTAGAAAATCTTAGCAGCAGAGAAGGGAATGGTGAAGTAGAAGTGGCCGCCCGCAGGGTCCAGGCATTCCCGCGTTCATGTTCCTACTGTTTGGGGACCCTGCCTGCCCTTGTTTTCTGCCCACGTGTACGCAGGTGAGCCTGCAGAGAGGGCATGTGGGTGGAGAGATGGAGCCAAGCAGGCCTGAGGGCGCCAAAGCCCAGTTCTCCCCACTGAGAAGTGAGCCCAGCCGCACACGGGCACCAGCGGTCACTCCCAGCCGCTGTCTGGCTTCACATTGAGATTTCTTTTACCAGGTCATGGGAAGCTGCTGTTTAAAGATGGAAGTTATTATGAAGGCGAGTTTGTAGATGGAGAGATCACGGGAGAAGGCTGCCGGCACTGGGCCTGGTCAGGTGGGACTTGGAGCCAGGGATGGGTGTGCTGGCCCCTCCATGTCAGCCTTCCCAGCGGGAGTTGGTCCCTTGCTTCTGGTGCAGAAGGTGCTTCCGTCTGTAGGGAGGCCCTCCCCTCCCCAAGGTGTCCTGTAACAGCAGCACTCCAGCCAGGGTGAGGTGGCCACAGTGCTGCCCACAGCTTGTCTGGGGACCTCAGCTCCTCACAGGCAAGCATGGTGGTTGGTTCTCAGTGAAGGGAAGGGTCACCCCACAGCCTCTGACCCTGAGCGGCCTTTGCCCTTGGGCTCATTGCTGCCCACAGAGAGGGTGGGCGCAGGATGGAGTCTGCAGTCACCTGGTTGTGAGGGGAGGGAGTCGCACACCCCTGCCTGCCCAGGAAGGCAGGAGGAGATCCGCCTAATGTCATTTTCCTTGGTTAACAAGAGTAAGTGATGAGATAGACACTCTCATGTGTCCTGACATGGCATCTGCCCCATCGTGGGTAAGGGGTGGGCAGGACCCATTAGGCCTCAGAGGATGCGGGCCCAGTGCTGACCCTGTGTGTTCCTTCTGTTCTCCTTTCCTGCACCAGGGAACACCTATTCTGGACAGTTTGTCCTGGGAGAGCCTCAGGGACATGGTGTCATGAAGTACAAAGCCGGTGGACACTATGAAGGGGAGCTGTCCCATGGAGCGAGAGAGGGTCTGCTGTCCACGAGAACTCAGGACCCTTTGTGGGGAACCCTGGCACCACACCCCTCCCTGAGAATCTGATTCAGGGGGCCCGCATGGGCTCAGGGCTCTGTGCTTGACAAGGAGCCCGATTTCCACTTCGGTCCGGGGAGCACTGCCTATCCTATCCAACTATGGGCGCACCTCTCTCCCCACCCCCAGACCACATCTGGTGTAGTTCGGTGCCCTGGGGACACCTGCAGGCCGCAGCCTGTGACACAGGTCATGCACCAGTTCACCACCACTGTGGAACAAGCCGCCCAAAACCTTAGACACTCAAAATGTCCACCACTTTATTATTTGCTTACAATCCCAGGGATCAGCATTCTGGCATGGACTAGCCTGGGCAGGTCTTCTGGATGCACGTGGAGTCACTCCTGTGGCTGTAGCCAGCGCAGCTCCACCAGGGCTGGTGGTCCCACCGTCCCCACCCACAGCCCCAGGGCTCCCGGAGCATGGGAAGCTGCAGGCCCGGCCTAGGCCTCAGCGCCATCGATTCCTCCACTTCCTGCTGGACAAAGCCAGTCAAGAGGCCATGTTCCCTCAGGGGATGCTGGTTCTGCCTGGGGAGGGGAGGAGCAGGTGTGCAGTGGCCCGAAGCCAGAGTGCCCACTGCCTCTGGAAGGCCAGCCTCTGGCAAGCGCACAGAGCAGTCACTGCCTGTCCAGCATCCATACACAGCAGAGTAGCAATGTGCTTGCACTTCCCAGTTGTCCAAAACCTCATTGGCATGAGTGTCCCATCTGGCCTTTAGACCAAGGTCCTCTGAGGAGCCTCCGGGGCCCAGTGCTGCCTTCTGGCCATGCAGGGTGGGTTTCCATAACCCGCGCCCCAACCACGGCCTGGGTGCTGGGGTCTCGGGGCCTCTGAGAGCCACACCAGAGCCACTCTCCCTGGTATGGTGGTGCTTGCTGTCCCATCCCAGCCAGCCTAGCCCCCAGGGTGCTGACCCAGCCTTCTTCCAGGCTCGGCACCTCCCTCCCCACCTTGGGCCGCCTGGCAGGAGGCACCACGGTGACTTCGGCCCCTCGGCTCCTTCACCAGGGCACGGATGTCTGGTGGACCCGGACGGACAGACATACTGGGGGTCGTTCCATGACAACAAGCGGCATGGCCGTGGGCGGATGGCCTTTCGGTGAGTGCGCAGCCCTAGCCGGCCCTCATCGGGGCTTTGGCGCAGTGTCAGGCACAAGGCCTGCCTCCCCTCCCTGGGCAGCACACTCCTGCCTTTGGGATGTGTGGGCTCGCCTCCCATTTTCCTTCTCCCAAATCCTTTCCGAATCTTGCACACCTGGGGAGCCCGGTGAGCAGGGGCCATCCTCCCATCATCATGGCCCCACTGAGCACACAGCCAGGCCGGGCAAGGCAGGGGCTTGTGCCATCTGCTCAGGGCCTATTTTTGCCCGTGTCCTGGTGGCGCTTGCTGAGCCCGGTCAGAGGAGCTGGCGTGATCGGTGCTGCCACCTGGCTCTCCCCACCTGAGGGTCGCCTCCGTCCTTCCCCTCAGGAATGGTGACACGTATGAAGGCGACTGGGTCTGGGACCAGCGTCAGGGGCACGGGGTGCTCTGCTGTGCCGACGGCTCCACCTACAAGGTACCAGGGCCCTTCTGGGGTGTCCACCCCACCCGGGGCATTCTTGGGGTGTGGCTCCCAGGCGATTTCGTGACCTTGTGCCAGGGGTGACGACTTCTTATCCTGGCAAGACAGCACCAGACAGTTCAGCGCTCCCACTAATAACCCATCTGGCCTGGACAGCTCGGCCCCGGGACCCAACGCTACCACCTGGTGGAAATGAAGTGATGCTCCTTGCCCCTCTGAGGGCACCGTTGCTGCCCACTGGGGAAGCCCCTGTAATGTGAAACACCTCTGGGCCTGCTTCCCTCCTCGCATGAGGCCCAGGCCAGTGGGGCTGGGTGGGGGCGCAGCTGGCCTCCAGATGCCTGAGTTCGCCCCTCTGTCCTTACTGGTGGAGCCTGGCGCACGTGTCCCCAGGGCACCCACCCTGTGCCATCCGCAGGAGCATGCCTGCCTGCAAGGAGTGGACGAGTGGCTGTCAGGGCTTGCACTTTCCAGTTGTCCAAAACCTCATTGGCATGAGTGTCCCATCTGGCCTTTAGACCAAGGTCCTCTGAGGAGCCTCCGGGGCCCAGTGCTGCCTTCTGGCCATGCAGGGTGGGTTTCCATAACCCGCGCCCCGACCACGGCCTGGGTGCTGGGGTCTCGGGGCCTCTGAGAGCCACACCAGAGCCACTCTCCCTGGTATGGTGGTGCTTGCTGTCCCATCCCAGCCACAGCTGGGTGGTCCTCCCTCAAGCGCCCGCCCAGGGGAGGCCCCCGCGAGGCCTGGTGGGGCAGGTCCAGGCAGGAAGCACAGCCCAGGGCCCCAGTGGGTGGAGCTCAGACCTCCCTGCCTCTGGAAGCATGGGAAGGACTCCGGGTGATCTTGGAGGTGCCGCCGCCCACAGGATGGTGGCCTGCGTGTGTGCAGGGAGGGCACTGGGGGCGTTGGGAGGTAAAGACACCAGGTCTGCGGTGACACTGACGTCCAGGCAAAGGCGAGAGGAGAAGCGGGTGGCCACTGGGCTCTGGCCTGGTGCCTGATGGGTGGCGGCAGCTGTGCAGATGCAGTGGGAGTTCACGTGCGTGTTGGTGACTAGTGAAGGCCGACTGCCAAGGACACAAAGGCAGAAATACAGAAATGGCAGGTGCGAAAGTGGCTTCTGTCCCCAGCCTACAGGAAGGACGCGGGGGTTGGCTGGGCTGTGCCCTCAGGCCCGACTGCAGGGCTGAGCAGTGTGGAAACGGGGATCCGAGAGGGCGGTGGCTCGTGGTCGATGGAGCTGCCACCCCGGCTGGTTGTGACGCGCCAGCTGCATTGAGGACCTTGGGAGCCCAGGCGATGTCCCACGCAGCTGTTACGGCAGCGACGATTGGGAGGGCTGTGGGGTGGGGCGGATGCCCCGGGCAAACTGCAGGCCTCACGGGAAGAGCGGAGAGCTCAGCTCACGGCTCAAGTCACAGCCGAGCATCACAGGCGTGGCAGTTGGAAAAGCCCCTTGCTTTTCGTGGCCTCAGGGCTGAAGCACTTTTAATTGTGTGGGTTGCAGAATCACCATGTCAGTTGAATCACATCCTTGTCAAGTTTCTCATGTGAAAGTTAGACCCCGATTGGGAAAGAATGGGCCCATGAGCCGAGGAAAAGCCCAGCCCTCCGGAGTCAGACCCCAGCCTGGTGAGGCTGATGTGCAGGAAGCCACCGTGGAGCGGCGGGTGCCTTAGGAGCAGACACGCTGGAGCCCAGGAGGGAGACCCCAGCCGCCTCTGGGGACAAGTCAAGCACCAGCCAGCTGGCAGATGGAAACTTCTCGGCCTGCAGCAGCACAAATCTGGGCAAAGAAGGGCGGGCTTGGGGCCGAGAGGCCATCACCTGGCAGCCGGCACAGGGCCCCCTACAGCGGTGGAGTGGATGGGCTGGGAGGCCCAGAGCTGGTCCCAGCCTACGAGGCTCCCCATCTGTGCTTAGATGTGGGCCTGGCGCGAAACCCCCACACAGTTGCCCACCCAGCCTGTAACGGGAAGCCCTGCTGGGGTGAAACCACCCCCTGACCCACTCTTGCCACTGGCCCTGCCCCGCCCGTGTGGCTGCCACCCGTCAGCCTGGGCTGGTGCCGGTGGTGGTGGCCCTGAGCCCATTTGCAAACGCTGCCCTTCCCGCAGGGGACACAGGGCCAGCCTCTAGGGCATGGGCAGCCATGAGTCCTTGGCCTCCGTCCGTCAGAGCCGCAGTGGGGAGGGCCGTGGGCAACCTGGGGGACCCTACTCCCTGGCCCATCCTGCCATGCCTGGGGCCACAACTGCCCCTCGAGGGCTGTGATGAGCAGGGTCGGAATCTTGCCCCGTCCCACTCTGCCTCAACTCTGCCCTGTGCCAACTCATTAATGGCCTCCACCCCTCAGGAAGGGCCTCTTCCCCACCTTACAGACAAGGAAACTGAGGTGCAGCGGAGGCCTCCTGGGCCAGTGAGGGCAATGCAGCCGTGAGCCCAGGAGACCTGGCCTGAGCCCCAGGCCCACACGTCCCATGAGCTTAAGGGGCGACTGGCATAGCCCAGGGCCCAGGCAGGGCTGTCTCATTCTTGTGGAGAACTGGGGATGGCTTTGCCCCTCACAGTCCTGTCCTGGAGGTGGTTCTGTCCCTTGGGCCCCTGGCCACCCCAGGGTCACCGGGCCTAGACCACCGACTGGGCGTCAGGGGTCTGGGTACTGTCAGGCAAATCAGAGCTCAGTGGGTAGAGGGGACAGGACAGGGCAGCCTCCCCACCCACGGGCCTGGGGCGCCTGCTCTCCACTCTGCCGCCACCAGGGGGCAGCTCCGCCCGCGGACGAGCGCAACCTGTTGGGCATGAGGCGCCTGGCCCCAAGTCGGTGGGATTTCAGGTAGGAGACGCGCCCTAGGACGTGGCTCCCACCAGGGTGGCCTGGGCAGGAAGTGCGAGCAGAGCCGGAGGCGTTTGCCTGACAGTCACCCCTGGCTGCAGGCCTGCAAAGGAGAAACCCCTGGGGTGCCTTCCAGCTGGGGGCGTCCCTCCTGCACGGGAAGCGTGCCGGCCACTGAGGGCCGTATAGCCCACCCTCACCCTCAAGTCTGTCGTGGGGCATGTGGATTGGCCACCCTTAGCACTGCTGTGGACAATGCTGGAGAGGAGCAGACCTCCCAGGGGCACCCTGACATCAGGGCTGCACCCTCGGGTGGCAGGACCTGCAGGACCTGCTGCCCTGTGGCCGTCTGTGCAAGAGAAACAGCTGCCCAGCCTTTTGGCACCACAAGGAGGACAGAAGACCTGCGGCGGGGACTCGAGCCACGTCTTCTGCCCGACCTCTGGGTGTGAGAGGTCACCTGGAGCCTCCAGCGGGCCTTAGGCACTGCACCCAAGGCACGTCTCCTGTGCGCTCCCTAGGCAAATGTGCAGCCCTCTTTGTAAAACATTTTTATTGTAAAATATGTGATGTGAAATAAACCATTTTAATCTTTAGGTGCACAGCTTAGGCATTCAGCTCATTCTCAGTTGTGCAGCATCCCCACCGCCCGGTTCCAGAACTTTCCATCTCCCCAAACTGAACCTCTGTCCCCACTGAACACCAGCCCCCAGCCCATTCCTAGTCTTGGCCCCTCTGTCCCCAGGGCCTCACACAGGTGGGAGCACGCACTGTTTTTCTTGTGGTGTCAGCTGGTTTCACAGGGCTCAGCCTCAGGGTCCCCCCATGCTGCAGCCGGGGCAGAGTGCCCCTCCTTTCTTAGGCTGCGTCACACCCCTGTGCTGAAGGGCCACATGCGCTTCACTGTCCTCTGTCCGTGGACATGTGGGCTGCTTCCTCCTTTTGGCAACTGTGAACAGAGGTGTGCAAATGACTCCTGAGACCCTGCTTTCTGTATATTGAGGAAATGCATTCAGATGGACCTGTCAGACTGTGTGGCCGCCCCACGCTCATCTGAGGTGTACGTGCATCTCCCCAGCGGCGCCGGCACAGCCCCATGTGCACTGCACCAGGGCTCCGATTCTCTGCCTCCTCCCAACGCTGGCTTCTGTTTTGCTTTTAAAATATCCATCCAAAGGGGCATTGGCCCTCCTAACGATGAAGATTGGCGGGCTGGCGGCTGCGTGGTGGTCTTTACCCTGCTCCTTCCCCAGCGCACCCCCAGGGGCTCCCTGTGCTCCTTTCTCCCCAGGCTTTCCTTGCACCTGCAGCCACAGGCCCTGCGGGAGAGTGAGTGTCCCCGCCCAGGCAGGCCTGCGGGGTTCCTGTGCCTTCACCTGCTCCACTGGAGCATCTGCCCCATGGCATGGCCCCAAAGCCCTATTCAGCAGACAGCTGCGCGGGGTGCCGCTCCTGCAGACCTGCCAGCACACTACTTGGTACCTGTTTTCAGATAGCATTACTTCCTGAAAAGACCAGAAAACAGGGAGTCTTCCTCTGCGGGTTTTGTGTCAGAGCCACCTCGTAGGTCAGCCCCGCCCTGTTCTGACAAGACCCTGCAGACGGGAGAACGCGCTCCAGGAGAAGCGGCTTCCCGGGTGTGTGCAGGGCTGCACGGAGCTGCCCCGTGGCCAGCGGCGGGTTCTCCCAGAGGCAGGCATGCCTTTGCAAAACCTCTCTGCCACCTCGTCACCATTATTCCTCCTTGGCACAGAGCTTTATGAGCCTTTAAAACATCAGAACAAAATTTATCCTTGAAGATAAGTGTGTCCTGGCATCTCCATCAGAAAATAAAATGATGCTCCCCAAAGTCAGGGGTTCCCTCCTCTAGTGACAGGAGCCCCACTGCCAGCTGTGGTGGCCGGTGGGTCTGTCCTGGGGCCAGAGAGCACTTGCTCACAGGTGCCTCTTGGTGCCTGTGTCGGTCACCCTGAGTTCCCGGTTGGCCCCTGGAGCCCCTCCCCTCATGTGCTGCCTCACCTCCAGTGTGCCACGGGGATGTGCGTGCCCAGGGGCAGCGAGTTCACCGGCTCCCCTGAGGATGTGGTGTAGCCTGGTGACCCCTTGCAGGCCCAGGGCAGCCCCTTAGCGAGCGGTCTCTTTCAGGGAATCCTGGATGGAGCCTGGAACCAGTATGTCCCCCGCAGAGGGCGCAGGGTGCCCGGAGGGATGGAAGCGGGCCCGAGCTGTTGGTGAACCACCTGTCTGTGTGCACACCCCTCGTGCCCTGCCTGTGTGCCCCAGGATGGTCCCTGCCGGCAGCTTCTGGCTTCCAGGCTGTCCCTGGGGTGCCACTCTGTGCACATTGGCTGCGTTTCTCATGTTGGCTTTCCTGGAGGGAGGCCTGCTGGTCGATACACCTGCTCGATGCACAAAGCAGGTGGCTGGCCTCGTGTGCGTCTTCACCTGCAGCGAGCTCCTAGCCTCCGCTCTCCGCACCTGTACATCCGCAGGAATGCCAGGAGCCTTCAAGTCCTGGCCACTGTCCTCGGGCTAGGAGCTCATAGCCCAGGAATGTGGGACCATGACCCCAGGAGTTCTTGAACTCAGAAGGGCCATGAGAAGCAGCTGGGCCAGTCCCTATGTGGGAGGAGGGCTCTGGGTTCCCTGGGGCTCAGATGTCACCTGGTGTCAGAACCAGATGCATGAAGGCAGCCAGGATTTGCATCAGCAAAACTCATTGCAGTTCACACTTGGAAATCCAAGGAACTTACCCAGGCTTGCCCTGGGAGCCTTGCTGCTACCTGGGAAGGGCAAGCCTCATAGGGAAGGGTACCTGACCCATGCCACCATGCCATCCTGGTGCTGGACACCCTGGCACCTCAGGCAGTCGCAGACCCAGGCCGCCCTACCTGACCCCCAAGCCCTTGATCTCAGAGAAGGTCCTCCCAGCCCGGGTCCAAAGCAGGCCGTGGTGGGAGAGTTACCTCCTGCAGGCCAGCACTGGGAGAGCTTCCCTGAGGCTAGGGAGGCCACTGCTGCCTTAAAGCAAGTCCCATGAAAGCTCAGCCACCTTCCTTTGGAAAGAACAGCTTCAATTCCCTTCAAAACGCTTCTAGAAGCAGAAGACAGCCAAGTGCTAATTGCTCACAATCTATTCAAACTCACTTGGGGGCACCAAGGAGCCCAGCCACCAGACTCTACATGTGGAAACAGTGGTCCCATCTGGGCAGCCTTGAGTGCTCAGTGTCCCTCAGGGTCCTGGGGCTGCCCTGGCCCCTGCAGGGCGACAAGGTGCGCCTCCTGCTCCCAGGGCCTGTCCTAACACTGGGGGCCCTGCTCCGCTTGGCCCGCTGTATCTGTGGTGTGGCGCACACTGTCATCATCCCCTCCTGCCCGGGGTGTGCCTGCTGGGCAGGGTCCTCACCCAAGAAGGGGGCAGGGAGAGTGGCGGAGCCCCACAGCCACCTCTGACAGGGTTCTGGGGTCTGATTTATGCCATTACTTCAAACGGCTCTCTGCAACCTCCAGCGGGTTTGTCCTGGTCACATCCGGATCACAGCTGGGAACATCCCACTCACCCAAAAACGCAGCGTGTGCTGAGTCCAGCTGCGACCAGCAGGCCGGCGTCCTGAGCCCCGAGCAAAGAACAGTGCTGCACAGCGAACCCCGGCGTGGCTCGCTTTCTCAGTATGTCAGCTCCGGGTGACAGGCACTCACAGGCAAGCTGCAGCCCACAGCAAGGCAGCTTTTCAGTGGCACAGCCCTGTGCCCAGGCCCTCCGCAGGCTCTGTGGGCTAGGTGGCCACAGACGTGAGCCGTGGCTTGGGGGATGTCCATGAACTACTTTCTCTGCCAGCTGAGCTTGGCACCAAGCAGCCGGAACGCAGCCGGCATGCGGCCTCGGGAGGCACAAGCCCATCTCAGAGCTGACTCAGCTCCTGGGTCTTGGGGCTGGATGACAAGGCTGCCTTGTGCTTCCAGGCTGGCTGGGCCTCCCATGGGGTTGCAGCCATGCCTCTGCCCACCTGGCACCCCCCAGCTGGCAGCCTGGCCCCTCCTGAAGCCACGAGCTGCTACCAGGCGTCCACAGGGGCTGCCAATGGTCTGGCTCCAGCCTGGAGGGCAAGCTGTGGTCAGCCCAGTGGCTGACTTGGACAGGAGTGGAGATGCTGCGTCGCCCGCGTTTCTTGAAGTGATCTGGGTCCCCAGCCACTGGGCTATGGTGACTGTGTGCTCCAAACAGCTTCAGAGAGCAGTTTTTCCCCAGGTTTGGAGTGGCTGAGCTTTTTAGGGCTGCAGCCTGCAAGGACCATTCCCACAGGCCTCGACTGCCCTGTGGCCCACGTGGCCCCTCCCATGGGCCGGGAGCCCACTCAGCCACTTTCCTCTAGTGCCCTTGTGCCCCGAAAGCCAGGTCTGGGGGCAGCACCTGCTGCATGGAGGCCTCAGGCCACTCCCATGCTGGTGGGGAAGCAGGGGCCCAGTCAGCTTCTGCGGAAGAACAATAGAACCTTGGATAATTTTTCTTCTAATAGCACTTCAGAGCAAATAAAATACCACTAGGTCTTGAGATTTTCCACAAAAGTGGTTTTCCTGCTCCTTCATGTCACTCTTACCGCCCTGTGCACGCAGCTTAGAAAGGGGCAGAGCCGGTGAGCAGCGGGTCGGCAGCCCTTCTGTCGTCAAGGCCCTGCCTCGCGCCCTCGCAGATTCGGGCCCCCTTTCAATACTCTGCACAAATGCAGTGTCTTTGTATTAAAAGGATTTTTGTGCTGAAAATTATGTTCTTTTGAGCCCTGTTCTGTTTGCATTTTGTATATGTGCCATTGTTCCCAAACCGCCTGGCTGCTTCAATTCAAAGGGGAGCGCGTTTTGCAAAGCAAATTGTGTGGTATTAGAATATGGAGTAATTTCCCGCCCCCCAGACGGCGTGCTTTTCCAGCAGCCCTGGGCCCCAGAGTGCCCTTGGAGGCTGGGGGCTGTCTGCCGTGCAGGGCCCTGCAGGTGTCCTGCATGTCTCACAGCCCCCTGAGCCGACGTGGGTCTCTCTGCAGGGACAGTGGCATGGCGATGTCTTCAGTGGACTGGGCAGCATGATTCACTGCTCCGGGGTCGTCTACCATGGGATGTGGATCAACGGCCACCCAGTGGGTAGGTGTCCCCAGCCTCCCTCCTGGCCTGCCAAGTCCTCTCATGGCGTCACATCAGGATCTGGCCAAGTTCTCTCTCAGGTGGCCCTGGGAAGTCACATGGGGAATGTTGGACAAAGGTGTGTGGGGCTGGGACACAGTGGAATGTAGAAATCCCATCCCGTTTTAGGAAAGACGTGTTCCAGTTTGGTTTCCAAAGGGCTCACCGTGTGCAGAGCCCCCCCCCAGTCAGATAAATGTCCGACCGCAGCGGTCCTGCCGGCCTCGGGGCCGCCCCCCAGGGCCCTGGGCGCCTGAGCTTGCCTTGCAGCCTGCATCTGGCCCCACCTCCAGCTTCAGACGCCTCGACTTGAGCAGAGGGGGTCTGTGACCTGCAGCCGCCTCCTCTGGGGGGCCTGCCTTCTCTGTGTTGCCTCCCGGGCATCATGGTGACCTCCTGCTAGACCCAGGGGCAAGGGTGGCCCCCTAGGGGTCAGCCTAACCAGGGTCATGGGTCAGAATCTCAGGGCCTGGTCTGTGGGTGCTGCTGCTCACTCAGAGCTGGCTGGCCATGTACCTGGGAGACCTCAGACCAGGTGCCCCTGCACACCTCGGGTGGGTCCATGGGACCCCCTTGGCTGGATGCCATGGGGTGCTGCTAATAGCTGCCCCCACGCACGCTGGCGCCTGCTGGGCCACAAGGGAGGGCCCCTGGGCCGGGGTGCAGGTCCTGGGAGGGGAGGTCGCTGGAGCCACACTCTGCTTGCTTGCAGCACAAGCCACGAGGATGGTGATTTTGGGTCCAGAGGTGATGGAGGTGACCCCAGGGTCTTCGTTGGAGTTGAGCGTTCAGCTGCAGCAGGACAATGGCGAGGTCGCCAAGGGTAAGCCTCTTCAGGACAGCAGCCAGACCTTTCAGAGACCAACAGGTGTCAGGATCTTGGAAGGATGCAGGCAAGGTGCCACACGTGTCTCGTGGCATCCGGGATGCTCTGCAGCGACTTGGTTTGCACTCACACCCCCTCACTGTCAGAGCCGGGGCGGAAGGGCCACGCCTGTCGTAGTATGAGCTGTGCATGGCCGTGTGTGCGCGTGGCTCCCACAGCACGGTGCAGAGGATGCGTGAGTGCTGCGTTGCGTGTGTCTGCGTAGGGCAGCCACTCAGCAAGGGGAGCTTCATGCTGTCCTCCACAGACTAATCAGGGAAGGACAGATTAACACGTGTCAGGGCTGCTTTTTAAGTCATCAGCCTTGCAGTGATGCGGCGGGGACATGCTGACCTCCCAAGCCCTTCCCACCTGTGAGCAGAGGGCCAGCTGCAGAGGGACATTCTGCCGGGGCGCAGGGTAGAGTGGTCCCTGTGTTCTGTCCCCGCATAAAGACCGGTGCCATTGCCTGGGGCGGGGACGTGTGCTCAGGATTCTTGAAGTACATCAGTGCACCTTAGTTCAACAAGCTTTAATTAGAAAGCCACGGTGCATAACATTTATGAAATCTAGTCACAACTGGTTTATTTTAACTACTTTATGCGGTGTCATTTACATACCATAAAATTCATCGGTATTAGGTGACTCACTGGCCTTCAGTAAGGGCACAAACTTGGGTGACCAATGGCCCGGTTCCGTTCAGAACACATCCGTTCTCCAGGGGAGGCTCCCCCATTCCTGCTGCAGCCCCACTCCCACCCTCCACCCTGCACGGCCCCCAGTCTATTTTCTCTCCTGCCTGATGTGCGCTTTGGGCATGTGCTGTACAAATGGCGGTGCACAGACCCTGCACCCAGCATGCCTCGCCACCTCACTGCTCAGCTGTGCCCGCTCCCTTGCCCGTGGACCTGCGGGCTGGCCGCACCTTCGGCTGATGGGAAAGGATGGGACAGGCATGTGTGTCTCCACGTCTCTCACCATATGCCTCCAAGGAGGCTGCTGGGCCTGCGGGAGGTCCGCATCTAGTCTTTGAAGGAAGCTGCCAAATGGTGCCCCAGAGCGGCTGCCCTTTTACCATCACATTGGCAGAGCTCGCAGCTCCGACTTCCCCACACCCTCGCCAGCGCTTGGTGCTCGCCACAGAGGCCACCTGACAGCGTGGGGGCGACCCACCAGGGCTCTGACCTGCATTCCCCTGATCATTAAAGATCTCGGGCAGCTTTATGGGCGCTTGTTGGCCATGGGCATATCTTCTCGAGAGAAATGTGTACTTGGATATTTTACTCACTTTTTAAAATTGGGCTGTCTTCTTGTTTCTGAGTCACAGAGTTCTTTGTGTATTCTGGCACAAGTCCTATTCAGATTTATCTTTGCAAATATGTTCTTTCAGCTGTGGCTTATCTTTTCATTTTCTTAATGCTGCCTTTCGAAGAGCAAAGGTTTTTCATTTTGATGAAGTCTAATTTGTCCATTTTTTCTTTTATGGACTAGTTTTGGTAATGTGTCTAAGAATTCTTAACCTAACCCAAATTCCAAAGATTTTCTCTTGCTTTCTTCTAGAAGTTTTGCTCTTACATTTAGGCCTGATGATCCATTTTGAGTTAATTTTTGTGGATAAGATAAAGGTTTAAATTCACCTGTTTGCATGTGGGTGTCCAGTTGTCCCAGCACCACATGGTGAGAAGGCCGTCCTTTCCCCGTTGAGTGGCCCTGGCGCCACAGCCGTGAGAGTAAGGGTGCGTCTGCCCCCCAGACCCGTGGCCACGCCGTCCTGTTGTAGCCTTATTGAAATCGGAGACTCAGCCAAGGTTTGTTTGTTTGTTTGTTTTCAAAATGGCTATGCTGGGACCTTAATGCTTCTTTATAAATTTTTTAAGATCAGTTTGTCCATTTCTGCCACAAGAAAAAAAAATCCTGCCAGGACTTTGTTAGGGGTCCCGCTGACCCTAGGGGGGACATGGCCCCCAACAGAGCTGCGTCTTGCAGCTCTGACACAAAATGTCTCTCCAGGTATTTACTGCTTTTCTTTCTTTCACCAGGGTTTAAATTCTAGTGTGTGGGCCTTGAACATCTTTTTGCTAAGTTTATCAATAAATGGTTATTAATTTGTTATTCGTTATTTGATCATAATTTGCTTATTAATAAATTTATTTGTTACATTTATTTTTATGCTGTTAGAAGTGGAATTGTTTTCTCATCTTCATTTCAGAAACTGCTAACCTACAGCTGATTTTCATTTCCATTCATTAATCTTAGGTCCTTTGACCTTGATGAGCTCCCGTGATAGTTCTGGTTTTTCTGAGGATTTCGTAGGATTTTCTATGTACAGGATCCTGTCATCTCTAATAAATACCACTTTGCTCCTCTCTTTTCGGTCTGCATGTGTTTTCCTTTGATTTCACCGCTTACGTTCCGACCAGCAATGGCTGAGCGACGTTCCGGCCGCCCCACACCCTCGCCAGCACTCCTCACCATCTGTCTTTTGGTTCCAGCCGTCCTGGTGGGTGTGGTGTGGTGTCTCGCTGTGGTTCTGATTTGCATTTCCCCAAAAAGTAATGATGTTGAGTGTCTTTATGCACTTATTGGCCATTTGCATATCTTCTTTGGAGAAACATCTACTCAGATCTTTTACCCATTAAAAAAAATGGATGACTTGTCTTTTTATTGTGAGTTATTAAGGGTTCTTTATATATTCTGGATACAGTCCCTTGTCAGAAATCTGATTTGCAAAAATTTTCCCCAGTTTTGTGGGTCATCCTACAGTTTCTTGATGGCGTCCTTTGAACACAAAAGGTTTTAATTTTGATGGAACCCAGTTGATCTATTTTTATCTTTTGTTCTTGTGCTTTTGGTGTCGTATCTAAGAAGAAAGCTTAGCCCAGCACCATGAAAATTTAATCCTGTTTTCTTCTAAGAATTTTATATTTCTAGCTCTTACATTTAGAAATATCCATTTGAAAGTTAATCCTTGTGTGTGGTGTGATGCAGGCGTCCTACTACATTTTTTTGTAAGTGGATGTCCAGTTGTTCCAGCACATTTATTGAAAGATCATTCTTTCCCCCACTGAATTATCTGGGAATTCCATTTGCTAAAATTTTGTTTAGAATTTTTGCTTGTGTGTTCATGAAGGATACTAGTTGTGAACTTATTTTTCTTAGAATGTCTTTGTCTGGGTTGGTGTCGGTGTAACGCTGACCTTCTAGAATAAGTTGGGGGACATTCCCTCTTCCATTTTCTGGAAGAGTTTGTGTTGAGTTAGTATTTTGGTAGAATTCAATACAAAGTCCATCTGAGCCTGTAGTTTTCTTTGTGAGAAGATTTTAAACTACAAATTCAATTTCTTTAATAGATACAGGGCTATTCAGGTTATCTGATTCTTCTTGAGTGAGCTTTGGCATATCCTATCTTTCCAGAAATATTTGTTCATGTCATCTAAGTTGTCAGATTTATTGTCATAAGTTGTTTATAATATTCCCTTGCTCTCCCTTTATTGTGTTGATACCAGATCTCTTATTACTAGTATGGATATTGATGTCTTCTTTCCTGACTGGTCATCAGTTTGATAAACAACCAGCTTACGGTTTCATTGATTTCTCTAGTGTCGTTTGTTTTCTATTACATTAATTCCCTTTTGATCTTATTATTTCCTTGCTTCAACTTACTTTGGGTTTAATTTGATCTCTTTTTTCTAGTTCTCTAGGTGGAAACTAAGGTTGTTCATTTCAGACCTTTCTTTTCTAATATAGGAAATCATTGCTATGAATCTCCCCCTTAGTACTGCTTTAGCTGCATCCTTCAAATTTTGATATGTTGTGATTTCATTTTCATTCAGTTCAAAATAATTTATAGTTTCCATTTTTATTTATTTTTGGGCTGATGAATTATTTAGAAGTGTGTTGTTTCATTTCCAAATATTTGAAGGTTTTCCAGAGATCCTTCTGTAATTGATTTCTAACTTAATTCCACATGGTTAGAGCCATATTTTATATTTTTTGAACACTTCTAAATTTATTGATTTCTTTGTGAGAAGATTTTAAACTACAAATTCAATTTCTTTAATAGATACAGGGCTATTCAGGTTATCTGATTCTTCTTGAGTGAGCTTTGGCATATCCTATCTTTCCAGAAATATTTGTTCATGTCATCTAAGTTGTCAGATTTATTGTCATAAGTTGTTTATAATATTCCCTTGCTCTCCCTTTATTGTGTTGATACCAGATCTCTTATTACTAGTATGGATATTGATGTCTTCTTTCCTGACTGGTCATCAGTTTGATAAACAACCAGCTTACGGTTTCATTGATTTCTCTAGTGTCGTTTGTTTTCTATTACATTAATTCCCTTTTGATCTTATTATTTCCTTGCTTCAACTTACTTTGGGTTTAATTTGATCTCTTTTTTCTAGTTCTCTAGGTGGAAACTAAGGTTGTTCATTTCAGACCTTTCTTTTCTAATATAGGAAATCATTGCTATGAATCTCCCCCTTAGTACTGCTTTAGCTGCATCCTTCAAATTTTGATATGTTGTGATTTCATTTTCATTCAGTTCAAAATAATTTATAGTTTCCATTTTTATTTATTTTTGGGCTGATGAATTATTTAGAAGTGTGTTGTTTCATTTCCAAATATTTGAAGGTTTTCCAGAGATCCTTCTGTAATTGATTTCTAACTTAATTCCACATGGTTAGAGCCATATTTTATATTTTTTGAACACTTCTAAATTTATTGACACTTGTTTTATGGCTCAGAATATGATATATTTTGGTAAATAAACCTATGGTCTATTTATTGGCACTTTGAAAAAAACCTGTGATTGCTGCTCTTGTTGGGTGGAATGTTCTATAAATGTCAATCAGGTGGATTTTAAAGGTATTGTCCTTCGAGTTTACCATATCCTTGCTTATTTTCTGTCTGCTTGTTCTATCAATTACTGACAGTGGCATATAGAAATCTCTGATTATAATTGCGGATTTCTCTATTTCTGGTTTAATTTCTTTCAGCTTTTGCTTCACGCATTTTGAAGCTCTGTTATTGGGCACATAAGCATTTAGGATTTTATGTTGTTTAATCAATTGACTCCTTATCATTGTGAAATTACCTTCTTTAACCCTGGTAACAGTCATTGCTCTGAATCCACTTTTTATGATATTAATATAGGCACTCCAGCTTTCTTTTGGCCATGTAAGCAGCCGTATCTTTAGCCATACTTTTACTTTTAGCCTATTTTTGTCTTTATATTTAAAGGGTGCTTTTTGTAGGTGAAATATAGTTGGGTCTTGCTTTTTTGTACACTCTAACCGTCTCTATCTTCTAACTGAAGTATTTACACCATTCACAGTTAACATGATTATTGATAAAGCAGGGTCAAACTTACTATTTGTTTTCTATTTACCCCTGTTTTTTTCTCCTTTATACTATATTCCTATCTTTTTTGTATTGGATATTTTTTATGATTCCATTTTATCTTCTATGTTGGCTTATCAACTGTAACTCTTTGTCTTGCTATTTTAGGTCACAATATAGATCTATAATTCATCACAGTCTGCTGTCAAGTGATTCCATAATACTTCACACATAACATAAGGACTTGGCAATAGCATACACTTCTTTTTCTACAATCCCAATCTTTATGCTATTGTATCCATATATTTTCTATTTGTATATCTAATACACTTTATATTACATTGTGTTTTCTTTTTTGTTTAAACAGTCATTTATCTTTTAAAGATAATTTACCCAACAGAAAAGGAAATTTCATCTATTTACCATTTCTGATTCTACTCATTCCTTCCTGTAGATCTTGATTTCCATCTGTTACCACTTTCCTTCTGCCTTTAATATTTCTTGTCCTATGTGTTTGCTGGTGATGAATTCTTTCAGCTTTCACATGTCTGGAAACATGTTGATTTTACTTGCATTTATGATAGATGTTTTTAAGAGGCATACAGTTCTGGACATTGTGCGTGTGACTCAGTGGTGTGACTCCATTATCTTCTAGTCTGTGTTGTTTCTGATGAGAAATCTGCTGTCCTCCTTGTTTGTTTCTCATATAAACATGTCCTTTTTCTCTATCTGCTTTTAAGATTTTCTTTTTATCACTGGTTTGAGCAACTTGATTTTGATGTGACATAGTGTAATTTTCTTCATATTTCTTGTGCTTGGGATCCATTGCACCTCCTGGACCTATGCATTTATACTTTTCATTAAATTTAAGGATTTTTTTGGCTACTCTATTGAAATAATTTTTCCGCCATATCCCCTCCCTCCCCTCTTGAAGGGACTCAGATTACCCAGGCATCAGACTGCCTGAAGTCGCCGCACTATTCACAGGTTCTCTTTCCCTTTCTTCCCCCTTCCTTTCTTTTTCCCTTTTTCCCTTGGTGATTTCATTTTGTATAGTCTCTATAGCTGTGTTTTCAAGTTCGTGAATCTTTTTTTCCCTGCAATGTCTAATCTGTCATCGATCACTCCCGGTGTATTTTTTAACTCATAGTTTTAATTTTTAGAAGTTCAACTTTTCTGTTTTCTGTGTCTCTACTTTACTTTTGGATGCATGAAATACAGTTATAATAATAACTTTGAAAAATGTCCTTTTCTGCCAGTTCTAACATGTGTTCGTTCTGGGTTGGTTACAGTTTATTGAGTTTCCTCCTCATCACGGGCCACACTTTCTCACATTCTCTGTGAGCCCGGTAATCTTTGACTGGATGCCAGACAGTGCGAACTCTTCCTGTAGGCTCCGCATGTTTCTGTGTCCCTGTAAATGTCACTGAGCTCTGTCCTAGGGAGCAGTGAGGTCGCGTGGATGGCTTCGCCCTCTTAGGTCTTGCCTCTGTGATCTGTTAGGTCTGGAGGAGGACTCGGTCTCAGACCAGCTATCCCCAGACTGAAGGCACACCCTTCTGAGCCCTCTGCCCACCGTGCCACGGCTTCCAGGTCCCCCGGGCGGGCCGGCAGGAGCAAACACTCGAGTCCTGTGTGAGCGCCAGACCCTGATCGCCTCACTCTCGGGTAGTTCTTTCCTGGCCTCGGGCTGTTCTCTCACACACTTGCCTGCAGGTGGCCTGGGTCCTCTCTCCAGCAGCCTGGGTGCCTGTGGGGTCACAGTTTGTTTCCTACATTCCAGGGACCTCTCTCTGTCCTTGCCTGGTGTCCTGGACCTTGAAAACCATTGTCTCATGTTTTTCTGCTATTTTGGTTGCTTCCAGTAAAAATGTAAATTGGGTCCAGTTACCCCACCAGAAATGGAAGCTGATCAAACCACAGTTGGTTTTTATACTATATTTGGTTCCATCTCTTTCCAAGTCAAAGTACTTCCAGTACTTGCCCTGCACCCCTCTCCTCAAGAGGCCAGATGACAGGCCTCCACCAACACGGTCAGGGGTGTGGCTGACTCCTTCTCCACTGGGCCCTGAACCCCAGACCCCACATGACCAGGCCCTGTGCCGGGGGACTCAGGGCTGTGGACAGGGGGACAGAACCCATCCCCCTGGTCGAGGTGGAGATGGGTAAGAGCTGTGATGTCCCTCCAGGGGGCCGGGGCCATGACACAGACAGGCCTCCAGCATGTGTGCTCATTGCCCCAGCAGCCTCGTGCCCTGGGCTAGCCAGGTCTGGGGCATGTAGCTGGTGCACCTCTGAGGCTGGCCAGCAGGGGAGGTCCCCCAAAGACTGCATGGATGGGCCAGAAAAAGAGGTGAAGCAGGGAGCCCTGAGCATCCAGAAGTGGCAAAAGGGTGGAAGTGTGAGGAAGGGCGGCCGGCCCAGCCAGGGGCTGGGAGGAGCAGAGGGCCCAAGCTGGACGTGGGCATGGCCTGTGGCCAGTGCCTCTCCTGCTGAGTCCCTGCCTGGGGCAGGGTGAGAATTGAGAGGCATCCTCACTGCGCTCATCCCTTCCTGAGCATGGTCTGCGTCTTTCTCTGGAAGGTGAGAATGGACGAGTTCTGAAGATCTCAGCGGGCGTCAGGTACGTGCAACTGCCAGCATACTCAGAGGTCAGCTTCTTCAAAGTGGACGGAGACAGCCAAGAGACGCCCGTCCAGAGCCCGCTGTGAGTGACAGGGACCCCAGCCGCGCACCTGCGGGGAGAGGGCTCCTTCCCCCACTCTGGGAGTGATGGCCCAGGACTGCCCTGCCCGGAGGCCCTCCCCACATCCTCCAGGATGCCGTGTCGTGGGGACACAGCCGTGACCCTCAGACATCACGTGCTCTCTCGTGAAGGGGACACAAAGGCACCTTCAGACGGGGAGCTGGGTGGGGCACAGGAGGGAGGGTCGGTGGGGGCTGTGGCGTGCTCCCAGGTGGTCCTGGAGCGAGCCCCCCCTCCTCCCCCTCCTTGCCCTCCCCCCTTTTCCTTTCTACCACCACAGTCTCCAAGTGGCCACCTAGGCCCTTTCTCCTCCCGGCACCAGCCCCTGGGCTGTCATTCGCCCTTGTGACCAGGTGTCAGCAGGGCGTGTTGAGCAGAGCCCGCCTCCCACTCCCTCTGCAGGGGCTTTGAGCACATCACCTATCCACTGTCCAGCCCCACGTCTGGGGGCCCAGAGCCCAGAGCTGCCCTGGAAAGTGCCGGAGCCAACTCACTGCCCGCCAAGGAAGACCTGGAGTCAGCACTGGCATCAGACACCTTGTGTGGCCGGGGGAACACCCCCAACAGCCTGCCTGGCAAGTGGAGTTAACCAACTGGTTGGTGGTGGGTAGCAGCCCTTCGGGTGGGCAGGGGAAACAGCACAGGGCCCTGGAAGAGCCAGGAAGACCCGCCTCGGCCAGAGACCAAGCAGGACCCTGGGCTGCGGGGCCAGTGGCCGGTGGCCTTGGGTTAAAAGGCAGGCTGGGGGCTGCCCATTCGGGGATCCTGACTGCTGGGTGCGTGTCCTGACTGTGCACACCCAGGCCTGTGGTGGGGCAGCGTTACGAGCAGGCCTGGACTGCTGCCTGGCCGTCCTGTGGCCTCCATGTCGCCGCTGATGCAAAGCAAGGTTGTTCTGTCCGTCCGCTGTGTGCCTGGGGGTGGGGCGCGGTCCCAGCTAAGGGTCTCAGAGCTACTTCTGGGTCCGGTGGGCAAACCCCACCAAGGCCAAGACCACCAGGAGGGCTGCGCTCAGCCCGGACGGGACCCCTGGTCGCTCCTGCCGCACAGGCCTCCGTGGCCCCCACCCCATCACCCCACGCCGTGGGGAGTCTTGGTTCTGACTGGTTTTCCAGTGAGTCCACCTCTGCCTGGAGCACATGGCATCTCCACATGCGCCTGGCTCGCAGTCCCATGGGGTGGCCCTGGGCCCAGGTGGAACCCCTGCCCCTGCAGGCCCAGCTGGCGAAAACCTGCTTCTGTCCAATGCCGGTGCTGGAGCTCAGGACTGAATCAGGGTCATCACTGGTTTTTCAGTTCTTTGTGTTCCAGGATACTGACCCCCGCTGCCCGACACGCATGTTAATGGGGCGGGGAGTTCCTGCCTGGTTGCTGTGCCCTCCACAGGGCCATGAGGGGGGTGGGGAGCTCAGTAGACAGGCTCACATGTGCTTGGGGCTTGCAGGCCTTCACGCTCCCTGCAGCCCTTGAGGGGGGCCCTGTCCCCCCGTTGGAGGCCAGCCCTGGACACTGCCCGTGGGGCACAGACTTGCAGTGTCCCAGGTCACAGGCAGCAGGTGCTGTAACAATGCAGATGTCCAGACGGAGACTGGAGAAGGAAGGAGGCTGAGCTGGGTCTGTTCTGTGGGGGCACCGCCAGCCTTAGGGGCAGGCAGGACCCTGAGTGCCTGCGGAGTGACACTCCACTGGGCCAGGGGGTCCACACGGACCCCATTTATGGAAGCACGTCTACACCACCTGCACCGGTACTTACACGTCAGAACTCTGGGTGCCACGCCTTCCCCTTGTAGGGATCTCAGAGCTGTGGGGAGTCTTTGTGGAAGCCGGGTTCCAGAACGTGAGGCTCCTGATGTTTGATGTGAGCACCCATGTCTGCCAGGGTCACTGCGTCCCCCCTGGCCTCGAGTGTCCAGCCCCACTTCATAGGTTTGGGACGCTCGCCGCTGGGTGGGGTGGGCCTCACCCCAGGCTGGCGGGCAGCACCCAAGTAGCGCTGAGATGTTTCCAGCTTTGCTCGGATGTGGGTGTCGAGCTGTGAAAATTGCCTTTGCGGAGACCAAGGGGAGCATGTTTTGTTTTCCAGAACCACTGGGGTTTGCGTGCTGCCCTCCGAGGCTGGCACCGAGCTCTGTAGCCAGCTTGGAGGCTGAGGGTTCTGCCCAACTGGAAGGGCCGGCTCCCTGGCCTGGTGCACCTGGGGAGCAGCCATGAGGCAGGGGCCCTGCTTCTCCACCATTTTTCAGCTGAAACGCTGCGGTCTCCTTTTTCTGTGAACTGAGGGTAAGGGCTGTGCCTCTGGGCCTGCGGCCCCGCTGTGCTCCTGTGCCCACATGGGGTCTGACCGAGCAGGGTGAGGAGGGGCCAGGGGGCGGGCATGCCATATGGCCGCTCAGCCATGCGGACCAGCCATACCCGAAAACCTGCAGACCCGAGCGGGGGGTCAAAGCCCTGGAAACTGTCCGCGGGGGACAAGGAAGTCGCCGTGCTGGGAGGCGGACAAAGCCTTTCTTAAAAAGTAAAATGGCTTAGTCTAGGCCATTTGAGAAAAGATATCCTTAACTTTTAAGTTTTCTTTTATTCGTTATCCTGAACAAGAGCAAAAGTGTGGCAGCTGGAGGCAGCGTCCACATGTGCACAGGACACCCCTGGGGTCCCTACCTCGTGGTGGGGAACACCTCTCTCGGGACCCAGCTCCCAAGCCCTGCGTGGTCACACTGCCCCTGCCCTGGGGCTTTCTCGCTCGGCCTGGGGCCCCAGCCTTGCCCTGCACCAGACCTTCACGGGGTCCTGCCCACCCTTTTCCGGCTTGCCCCGAGTCAGTTCCGCTGGCCGAGTGCCCCCGGGCGGGTGCAGGGCGTGGGGGCTGACATCAGCTAAGACCACCATGGGCCCTGCTGCCTGCATTTGAAAGTCTCAGGGAATGTCCACTTGTGGCCCCGGGTCAGCAGCCGGGACGTCCCACATGGGCGGGTCTCTGAAGTGCAGGGCACAGGCCACAGCCCAGAGTTTCAGGTGGAAAGACGAGGCCTGGAATAAATTTGACCAGAAAACCTCTGAGCGTCTGTCACTATGGAAGCTAGTGTGACGCCGGCACAGGGAACCCACTGAAATGTGCATAAGCTGCCAGCGGAGCTTCCCTCCATCCAGACCTGGGCAGCCCTAGCCCAGCCCTCATCGCGCGGACACCCCAGCTTGCCGGCAGGACCTCCGTGCCTCTCTGTCTGTCCCAGCTGACCATACGTGGGATGGAGCTCATGAAAGTGCCCGCTGGCGTGGCTTCATCCGGGCCAGCGGTGTGCCAGGTGAGCTCTGGCTTCTGCTGATGGCGCGACGGTGCTTCAGCTCCAGCATATTTGCTTCTTACATGACCGCTGAGAGGCGGGGGGTGTCCTCCCATCTCACCAGGGCCCTGTGTCCTCTTTCCCACTCTGCTATTCTGCCATCCTTGGAGCACCACCTCTTGGTCCTGAAGGGCTACAGAGTGCCCGCCGCCGCACCCCTGGTCCAGCTGGCAGGAATGGAGGAGGATAAGCAGCCATGCCCCTTCCCTCCTGAGAAGCTTCCTGGAGGAGCTGCGCCACCGCTGTCTCTGCCTCATTGGCCAGAACTTGGCCATGCGGCCACACCAGGCACAGGGGGATGAGACGTGCAACTTGCTGGTCAGGCCAGGCTCTCTTGCCAGAGAAGAGAGAGAATGGATGTCTGGCATCTTTGCTAAATGGTCTGCCAGCCCAAATGAGAAATCCCATCATCAGCCGGTACTGCTGGGTCCTGCTGGACGGAAGGTGCCCACGGGCAGCTTTGGCCTCCTGCCCCTCCAGGACAAACTGAGGGAGCCGGAGGCTGGCATGTGCCATCCGCATCTCCCTTCAGGAAGCAAGCCCTGTCCGTGACCCCGCCACCCCCTGCCATGCGTCTCACCCTCCACCACACCCCAGGCTCTTAAGGGGAAAATTAATGGGTTGACTGACGTGAAACCGAGACTGGGGGTGGGCATGCTGATTCTGTCAGAGCGCCGGGGGCTGTGGGGACAGCTGAGGCTGCATCAACAAGTCTTAAAGGTCAGGGAGCTAAAGAGGCCCCCAGCCGGGCACTGCAGGCAAGGAGCCCCGTGCCCTGCCCTCCTGCCACAGGCTTGCTCACGGACAGAAAGTGTGCCCTGGAAGACCGAGCCCCACCCTGGATGGGTGACCCCCCAGGTCCTGAGCAGCAGCCCTGGGGGCAAGAGCAGCCCTCAGGTGGCACCTGCAGGGGGTCCCAGCTGGGCTGGCAGAGCAGGACACCTGGCAGGCCCCACCTGCAGCCTTTGTTCTGGAGGCAGTGCTGGGCTGGGCAGCCAGCACAGGTGAGGGGCATTGGCTGGGACCACCTGACAGTGGGGAGGGTGTCCGTTAGGCCAGAAGCCAGGCTGCCCTGGGAAAGGAGGGAGGGAAGGAGACTCCAGGCCTGCCCTAGAGAGAACCAGCTGGCGTGGGGTGACCTCACACTGAGGCGGAGCAGCCTTGTCCTGCATTTAAAGTAATTATGTATGTTTCTGCATGTTCTTGAGCTCGTGTGCTGCCAGCTAAGGGTACACAGAGCAGAGTCCCCAGCGGGCGGGAGCAGCTGCGAGCCCTCAGCGCCTTCCCCGTCCCCTGCGCCCCCAGGTTTCCCTGCACAGAAGGATATGTGGCCAGACGCCTTTGCTAGTCAGTTTCAGACCCCAGGTGCTGGAAGTAGAGCTTCTGGGCACAGTGGGGCACAGACAGCTCCCCACCAGCTGGTCAAGGCCGCTGGGATCTCAGCACTGCCCCACAGCCAACTGCCTGTATGGGGCTCAACTGCCCTGGGAGCTCACCCCAGGCCCCAGGCCCTGCTGGGACGAGGCTGCTCAAAGGCTCCCAAGTCCGGTGGGCAATTAAGAAAATATATCCCCTAAAAACCTGGTTTCCGATTCTACAAATAAGTAAAATGAGAGAAAATGCTGTTTCCGTAAGTGTAATGTCTGTAATGGGTGATTGCAAACAGTATTTTATTATTTTGTTGATATGAAATACTTCGGTGGTTTCATTGTTTTTAACTTTCCAATAGATGATTTGCTTCTTGTTGAGAAGAAAAGATGATTTCATAGATGTGACTATTGCCAGATACTCTAAACCCTATTTTGGTTAAATTACAGCACCCAGATTTTGGTAACAAAGCACATTGATTTTATATTCAAAAAGATTTTTATATTTAGTGTCTTAACCTTTTGTAATTCCCACCCACAGCTTCACATGGTAGAACCCTTGCATGTTAATCGTTGTCAGTGGGGTGTCCGCCTCGCCCCTGGTAATTCAGGCCCATTGACTCCTAATGCAGGTGCTGATAATTGCTAGAGGGACTTTGTCAGGCGGGCTGAGCAGGGGTGGTTCAAACAATCCCCTGTAAATTGGATTTGGGCACCTAGGAAACCGAACAGCAGTGAGAACCTCAGATTGCTATTTTTTTAATGCACAAACCCTTCCAGGAAGCACCTCTAGTCGATTTGAGTGGTTCTTCTCCTTCATTTGTTGAACGAATGATTGTATTTATCACATGGGAACCGTCCGTAATG